CACACATCTTTTTCAAACTATATTATGAAGCTATAGTGATCAAAATAGTAGGGTACTGGTTAAAAAAAAAAGGCACATAGACCAATGGGACAGAATCAACAGCCTAGAAATAAACCCACACATATAGAGTCAACTAATCTTTGACAAGAGAGCCAAGAATGCAGAGTGGGAAAAGTCTTTTCAATAAACGGTGTTAGGAAAAGTGAATATTCATGTGCAGAAGAATGGAAGTGGACCACTATCTTACACCACTCATAAAAATTAACTTGAACTGGAGTAAAGACTTAAATGTGAGACATGAAACCATAAAACTCCTAGAAGAAAACGGGAACATCTCCTTGATGTGGTTTTGGCAATGAGTTTTTGGACCTGACACCAAAAGCACGAGCAACAAAAGCAAAAAATATTAAGTGGGACCACATCAAACTGAAAAGCTTCTGCACAGCTAAGGACACCAGCAGCAAAATGGAAAGACAACCTATGGAATGGGAGAAAATATTTGCAAAACATGTATCTGATATGAGGTTAATAAGAAACTCATATAACTCAAAAGCGCAAAAGCAAATGAGCCAACCAAAAAAGAGGCAGAGGACCTGAAAAGACATTTTTCTGAAGAAGACATACAGATGACCAACAGGTGAAAAGATGCTCCATATCATTTGTCAGCAGGGAAATACAGATCAAAAGCACAGTGAGATATCACCTCACACCTGCTAGAATGGCTATCGTAATAAAAAACAAAAAACAAAAATAAGAGATAATGGATGTCGACAGAGATATGGAGAAAAGGGAACACCCATGCCCTGTTGGTGGGAATGTACAGTGGTCCAGCCACTATGGAAAACAGCTTGGCAGTTCTCAGAAAATTAAAACTAGAACTATCATATGATCCAGCTCTGCTTGCTGGTATATATCAAAAGGAAATGAAATCTTTTATCTTGAAGAGATATGTGCTCATCACAGCATTATTTATAATAGCTAAGACATGGAAACAATCTAAGTGTCTGTTGATAGATGAATGGATAAAGAAGATGTGGTGTGTGTGTACACACACACACGAATACGATTCAGTCATAAAAAATGGAAAGAAACCCTGCCATTTTCAACAACATGGATGAACCTAGAGGACACTCTGCTAAGTAAAGTAAGTCAGAGAAAGACAAACACTGTATGCTATCACTTACATGTGGGATCTTAAAAGCAAACAAGCAAACTCTAATTCAGAAGCAGAGAGTAGAGTGGTGCTTGCCAGAGATAGTGGCTGGGGGAAAAGGGTGATGTTGGTGAAAAGCACAGAGCTTCAATTATAAGATGGATAAGTCCTAGGGATATCATGTACAACATGGTGACTGTAGTTAACAGTAAATTACTGTATGCTTGAAATTTGCCAAGAGAGTAGATCCTAAGTAGTCACATAAAAAAGAGAAGTAACTATGAGATGGTGGAGGTGTTAATTAACTTAACTGTGGTAAATGTTACACAATGTAGACATGTATCAAATCATCGTGTTGTACAATTTAAATGTATACAGTTTTGTCAATTATACCTCAGTGAAGCTGGAAGAAGACAATAACAGAGTATGAGCCACCTGTGTCGGCTGCTGAGAAGGCTGGGAGGATGGAGAGACCAGTGGTCAGAGTGAACATGTGCATATTGTCCTTTTGGGCCTGCAAGGTTGGGGGTGTGTCTTGTTGAGGCTGTTTTGTGTGGTCCCCTCCCCACTTCCTGCGGCCTGCACTGCCCAGGCTGATGGTCAGAGAGGGAGGTCCCTACCATGGGTGGTCCTGCAGGAACCCAGCCTCTGAAAGCTGGCCCAGGACAGGTGAGGTCGGTGCCCACTGCTCAGCAGGTGGCCGCTCAGGTGCATGCATGGACCAGTGTCCCTTCAGCCAGCAGGTGGAAGGTCTGTAGCCCCTTCATGGGGCACAGTGGGTGTTGTATCAGGTACGGCCTGTGCCATGGTGGGTGCTTGGCCTGCCCTAGCTGCCTCTCCTCCTGGTCCTGCTGCTGCTCTGAGAAGCTGGCGGTGCACAACCAGCAATGCCGTCCTTGGGGAGCTTGGTCCCATCAGGAGAGATGGGCACAGAGATGACGGGGAAATGATGGCTAAGGAGATGAGTGCAGTAGAGGAAGGTAGGCCTCAGGGACTTCTGGATGCACTTGGAGCTTAGCCTGGGAGGGGTAGGTGGAGTGAGGGAGGGCTTCCTGGTGGAGGAGGTGGCTCGCACCCTCAGTCTTGAAAGAAGAAACGAGCCAGGTGGACACTGACGGGGGTGTGGAAAACTCCAGGCAAAGACAGCAGAGTGGCCTGGGAGGCACCTGGGGATGGTGTGAATGAGGGGTTGAGTGGGGGGCTAGGAGAGCAGCTGGTGTCAGCCATAGGAGTGTGGGGACCCATCCTGAGAAGGCTGTGGCTTCTGTAGGTGGCAGGGTGGGAGCTGGGCCTGGACACTGTCCACTCAGTGTGTGATGTGTCAGGAAGGCGTCATGCAGCTGGGTGAGAGGCTGGGATCTGGGTGGAGATTTTGGGGATGGTGGCACCCCAGCCTGCACGTGCACACTGCAGCCCCATAACCCTCATGGTTGCTCCCTAATGGGGTGGTCCCAGGATCGCATGTGGTGACACATGGGACAGCCTCTAGCGAGGTAGCACAGCCGAATGGCTGCTCTGAGGAAATCCCGTGGGGCCACCAAGATCCTGGCGGTTGGGTGTACAGTCCATAGGACTTTGGGGGTCACTCACCTACTTCTAGAAATAATGGGCCCACCTCTGAGAATCTCCACCTTATTTCTTGGGTGGTTTATGCAATTTCACTGTGATTAGTTAAGCTTTGTTCTGATATTGCCCCACTGTGGCCCATGGCTCTTGTGACCAAGTTGGCTGTCCACCAAGAATGTGTCACACCCCTGTCTCTCCACTGAGCAGAGCCCCTTTTAGGTCTAGGTGACCTATTGTATCTTCTGCTGCTGCATAAGTGATTACATGAAAAGCTAAAACCTTAACATGACAACAGCATCTGGTATCTCCCACTGCTTCTGTGGGTCAGGAATTTGGGCATCATGCGGCTGGGCAGTGCTGGCTCAGGGTCTCTTGAGAGGCTGCATCATCTGAAGGCTCAAGTGGGGTCGGAGGACCTACTTCCCAGGTGGTGCTGACTGTGGGCTTGAGGCGTCCGTTGTTCTCACGCAGCCTCTCCATAGGGCTGCTTAAGCACCTGGCTCTCTGCAAAAAGGGTAGTGACCTAGTGACCAGGGCAGGAGCCTCTGGGTTTTTGATGGCCATGTGAGGCCATGCTCCATCCCCGGGATGCTGAGCAGACTGCCTGCCCCATTCAACAGCCTCTCCATAGGGCTGCTTAAGCACCTGGCTCTCTGCAAAAAGGGTAGTGACCTAGTGACCAGGGCAGGAGCCTCTGGGTTTTTGATGGCCATGTGAGGCCATGCTCCATCCCCGGGATGCTGAGCAGACTGCCTGCCCCATTCAGTGTGTGTGGGCAGAGCATCCCGTGGGACCAGGGGAATTCTTCCCCTGCATTTCTGCTAATTCTCACCCATAGGCTAAGGGCCTCTGACGGCCCTCCTCTTTATCTCTGTTCCTCCTGCTGGACCCCAACCTCTGCCTGTTTTTCTGTCTGGGTTTTTCATCTGGGGTGGAAGCCCCTTTGATTCCAATGGCAATTCTGTCTTGATTAGAAAAATCACTCACCGTGTTTGTGCAGAGTGCCCATTAGGACATGCAGAATAAATAGTTGTCAATGTGAATAATTTCATAAAGCATAGAGGCATACAAAGACAATTCAGAAAATGAATCTTGCAAAGGTAGTGACTCTGGCTGGTTTCTGCTCAAGTTCCAGTAAAATCCAGCCATGAGACAAATTAATTTGTCTGTTTTATTCTCATGCGATCTAACGTGGACCTTTGTGAGTTCAGTGTTTCTGTCCCCAGCTCACAGAAAGGATGGATTCTGCAGAGAGTAAAGGTTGGTCCTCGAGGCACTGAGCCAGTCTTCAGGGTGCCTCCTGGCTTCCGAGGCCTTGTTCTTCCAGGAGCCAGACATTACAGTGTGCTCTCCTGTTCTCTAGGATGGTTCCATTTGGCGTTGCAGTAACCCCAGGGGAGAAAAGAGGCTCTGAAGTGTCATTGGTCCTGCCCAGGGCAGCCCACTGTTGAGGGCCGGAAAGTCCCCAGGCCCAGGTCCTGCCCCCCCCCGCCCCCCCGCCCCCATCCCACAGCTGCCTGGGGATGAGAGGTGCTCCAGATGCATGCCTGGAGCTGCTCAAAGCATGTGGGTGGGGTTGTTTGAGGGCAGCTGCTTGTTGCTCAGTGTCTCCCTGTCCGCAGGCCTTGCCTGGACTGTGGCAGGGGTGGGGAGGGGGGCAGGGAGCCTTTAATGTCCTGTCAGCTCAGCTGCAGCCTCTGGAGGGTGGGCCTGTGAAATCCCCATTGGTTCTGCTCTAAATCTGCATTGTTGGGGCCTCTGAACCAACACATGTCCCTCCCAGTCTGCACAATGGCCCTGCTTGAAGGATCTGCAGTAGGAATTTAGACGTGGATTTATTCTGACAGTCAGACCTCGGGTTGCCGGAAGTGGAGGAGCGGGGAACTCAAACAAGCAACTTTCTCACTAACAGAGACGCCAGTCCTGATTCCTACAGGGTCTTTTCAAGTTGCTCTTTCTAGGGGGAGAGGCTGTCCTTTCCCGGCGGGCACAGATGCGTTCACTGCCCAGATCCCTTGCCTTTGTCAGTCAAGGATCCAGCCTGGCCACACTCCCCCAGAGGTGATCAGTTTGCAACTAAATCTGAGCCATTGCTAACAGGACAGGGGCTGGGTCCCCACACACCATGTCCACCCCGAGCTTTCCAGAAGCTTGGCATTGCATCGCTAATGGGAAACCTCCCTTGATCTAGACTTTCAAGGGTTGACAGGGTTCAGAGTTGGAGCAAGCATTGCTGCAGAGAGTGCTCAATGCACACACCGTCTTTCTCTTTCTCTTGCAGCCTGCAAGTACTCCTGCCACGGGAAGTGTGAAGCCCAGGTAAGTGCTGCGGGCCCTTCCCCGATTGTCCAGGCACCCCTCCTGTGCTGGGTGATGCGCACAGAGGGGGCCATAAGAAATGGTTGCTAGATGCTTCTCAGAGTATGTGCTTTCCATCTCGAGAACAAGCTGAGGAGCTATGCAGTCCGCATCTCTGATTATGGACATAGCTTGTGTGAGGCTTTGGTTTTAGGTAAGAACTCAGCCACTTTGCCCTGGCCATGCTACAGCCCTTTCTCCACAGCATGACACCTTCAGGTGACACCACATGAGCTTAGGGCAGAGAGTGGGCAGGGACAGGGTTGAGGGCACCTGCTGGGCCTTGAGTGCTCTCTGGCCTTTGTAGGCTAGTTCCTAGGTTGGTCTGGTTTTTGGGCTGGCTAGAAGTCGGGGGATCCTGAATGGGGGATAGTTGTCCTTGAAGGTGAGTTCCCTGTTGTGGTTAAATTTCAGAATGGCCCTGGGAAGTGCTGGAGACCTGGGGCGCTTGGTGGGTTTTGGGGGTTGCCATGGAAATAAGGAGGCCTATACGTGGCATGTGGGAAATTGCAGGGACCTCTAGGCTGGAACCCTGGTTTTCTACCTGATCACATGTCAGTGCCACACCTTCCAGGCATGATGTTGGTCTGCAGCCGGGCCAGGACATCTGTTGCCCCTGCTGAGTGGCCGGCCTGCCTTGGTGGGAGCTCCCTAATGCCCTGCAGGCGGCCCCAGGTTGGAGGCCTGGGCAGTGGGGTTTTAGAGTCTTGGGGCTTGGTTGCTGCTGTGGACCTTGTGGGTCAGCTGTTCCTGAGAATTTCTCACTGGCCCCTGGGCTCTGAGCTGAAGGGACGGGTGCAGGGAACTTTACATGGTGTGTTCCACATGTGAGGACCAGGGGGCCTAGTTTCCTTCCCCTCCCTACCATGCACACACATTCAAACAGGAACACACATGCATGCTAGGCACACATGCATATGTGCACATACACACATGCACACACCTTGCACAGAGGCACACACAAACATGCACACACACAGTTGGAAGGACTATAGGCTAGGCCACCTTTGTTTTTTTTTTTTTTCAAGAAAGTGATTAAATTACTTAAAAAACAACCCTTTTCATTCTGGAGAGTTTGGAATGCAGAAGAGGAGAGGATAGTGCAGAGCCCTGCGCTACACTGTTACCCAAGCCCCCTGCCACCATCTTTCCCAAACCTGGTCCCCTGCCTCTTCTGGGATGTCACATGATGTACATTTGAGTGGGGCTTTGGGGCATTTCTGCAGTCGCTCTGGAGCAGCATCCCTGTCCTGGTGAGGCCCAGCATCCTGTTCACATGTGCTCCTGCAGTGGCTGGTTCCAGCCTTGGTTCATTGTACCTGCTGTGCCAGCAAATAGGCTCTTCTTTGGAGTGTGCTTTTGAGTTAAGTGGTTATGTTGGAGCAGAGATGCCCACGCAGTGTGGAGTAGGGAAAATACTGCTTTACGGAGTTTTTAGATTTCAGAGAGTGTTTTTCCCCAACACCCTCGAGGACCCCCAACCCCTGAGGGTCTTGTCCTGCATAGTTAACACCTCATCACCACTGAGGGACAGAAAGAGGGGAGACCCACCCTCAAAGACCCTGTGTTAATGTGTATATGCAAGTATGCCCACTGTATGTACATGTGTACACACTGTCAATGTGTGTGTGCATGTGAGTGCATGTGTGCATTGTATGTTCATATATGTGCATGCATTTATAACTGTTGTGGTAATGTGTGCATATGAGTGCTGTGTATATGTGTGTTATATGCATACATGTGTGTGCATTGTGTTCCTAATGTGTGTATGTGAGGGCACATGTGCATTATGTGTATATGCATGCATGCATGTGTTAATGTTTGCATTCCAAGTGTGTGCATTGTATATGTGTGAGTGTATTGTGTTGATGTGTGTGCTTGCTAGTGCATGTGTGTGTATATGTATGCATGTGTGTATGCAGGTCCCTGGTGGGTGTGCACTGTATGTGTGGCTGGCATAGCCACTCCTGACCTGCAGCTGCAGAACTCAGTTCCATACTCTGGCACCATTTATTGAAGGGGGCCCAGTACTGGCTGCTTAGGGGTTGAATTCTGCAGTTCAAAGAATACTACCAAAGTTTTAGCTGCCACTGATTATGGAGTTTGTATCTGCAGTAACTGGCAGTTTGCTTGAGAGACAGATAAGCACCTACTGTCTTTAGATTATGGTAGGGGAAAACTGGATCTGTATTCATTATTTTTGATGACACAGCTTTGAATGGCAGCAGAGAATGTTCACCAGCAATAATAAGGCCCCTTCTTATTCCGACACCATCACACAATTGCTGTTGGGCACACTAGGGCCATAAATTCCTAGCTGCCTCCCTGGGTAGCTCCGTCTCCCCAGAGCTGAGCTGAGGCTCTCCCAGACAGTTTGGTCCTGGTTACCATGTGCGAGTAACTGTGCAGGCCCCTAAATGCACGAGGCTTGCAGATTTTCTGGGAGATGGAGAAGCTTTGGTTAAGAACAGGCTTTGGCCTAACATCTGACCTGGTCCATCCTCTTACTGCCTTGTGGTCTCAGGTGCTGTGGGTCTCCTCTGTGATGGCAGCCTGCACCCCTAATCCGCAGGCCTGGTGGGTACACAGAGGATGTAACAGAGGCCGATGGTGTGGCATGCTTCCCAGGGCATGTTTGCATGTGGTGACCCTGCTGCTATTGTCATCGCCCTACTGCCACCAGGGCCAGCATTGTAGGCTCCCCACCAGGCCTGGGATGTCCCCTCCTTAGAGTGGAAGTCATGGAGAGAGCCATCCTGCAGGAATGGGGCTGAACCATGGTCTGGGGGCTCAGGCAGGGGAACGGAGTCATGAGGTCAGACATTCTCTGGTGGACTGAGGTCACTCTCTTCCTGGCCATCAGGCAGTATGTCCTCTGAGATGAGGCTGTGAGGTTAGAGGGCACATGGAGGCAAAGAGGTGTGTCTCATCTGCTGGAGCGAGGCCAGGTACCTGGAGCCAAAGTTTCTTCACATGAAACATGGGTGGATGGTGCTCCTTAGAAGCCACTTGAAGGCAGCTCGCCCATAGCTGTTAATTGAGGCACTGTTAGTTCTTTCAGGTTAGAGAAGCTGATGATTTATGTGTAATTGCTGGAGAGCTGGGATGGCAAACCTTTTGCTCCCTGGAGGCTGTGCTTGTTCCCGGGAGTCATGTGAGCGTTTGGGCAGCCTGAGGTGGTTTTTTCCTTGCCCCTAGTTGACTCATTGGTGAGAGTAGAAGAAAGTAGGAGAAATAGCTGTTTCATTTCAGGAAGGCAAATGGTGAGTTGACAGGGTGGGGTAGAGGGAACGGGGTCCCTGGTGGTGCCACCTATAGTGTGGTGAAGGTGGGAGCGTTGTGGAAGTAGCAGTCACATGTCTGCCAAAGGATGCCCAGGCGTTGGTCCCCTCCGTGTGCGCCTGGTCGTAGACGGGTAAACACTTTATCAGCTGAGGTTATAGAGAGATCCGCATAGCTTTTTGCAAACATAAGGCTGCGAGGAGGGACGGAGCCGGGAGTGTGCACAGGGTGGAGTGCAACATTCGCCATGCAGGGGCCCCATGCCAGCCCTGCCCCAGCCACATACTGTCTGGCCCAGGAGATATCCTCAGACCCCCTTTCCCTTCCTTTGCCTGTGCAGCACACTGCTCAGGGCCAGCTTGCCTCTCTCTCTGGACGTGCCTTGCTGGGTGCCTGGTACAGGACTCGGGTGCAGACCACTGTGGTGAGGGGGAAGCTGCCCATTGGAAGGAAGGGAGCCCTGGGCTCTGTGGCCCGGCTCCTGTGGGGCCCTGCTGCCTCATCCTCCTGGGGCTGTCACAGGGTTACCCCAGCTGGGAGCCTTCAGCCTCCAAGGCCCACTAGAAGAAGACTCTTTATAAGGGGCTCACTGTTCCTTATTCTGGAGAGAGAGCCTATCAGGCAGGCATGGCTGGGGCAGTCTCCCGCCCCACCCCTACTCCTGTGCCCCAGGCAGGACCTGCGCTCCTCAACACTGTGCTCGCCGCCCTTGCACCCTGATTCCCAGTTCTGGCTGTGTTGGGGTGGGAGTCACGGTGACTTCCACCAAAGTCTGGGTCTTCCAGATGTACCTCTGCCTGGGCAAGTGGAGACCCAGAACCAAGATGTCCTCAGAAGTCACTGTCATGGGCATCTCCATCCCCAGGGTGCCGCTGGCTGACTGCTGACTTTTAGCCGTGAACTTGTACATCTGCTCGTCAGCCTGCATCTTCAGACGGCCCACTTTGAATAATCAGGGCTGCAGTGTCCTCTTTTGGTGCTGCCATGTCCCAGGCCTTATCAGCCGGCCCCTCCCATACAGGGCGAGCAAAGGGGGTGGCAGGCAGGTTGGCTCAACCCAGTACGTGGCCTTCATGCCCCAGTGTTTGGGGTGTGGGCTTCAGAGCTTGGGTTTTCCCATCTGTGAGTTCTGGGGTGCTGTGTGCTCCACTCACATCAGCACGGGGCACCCGGCACTTGCTCTGACTCCATGAGCCCTCTGCTCCAGCTCGCAGCAGCTTCTCTGAAACACTGTAAGCAGCCTGGGGGCCAATCCCATGTGCCCAGGGCCAGGGTGTGTCCTGCTCCGTGTCTCCCCAGGAGGGGCGCCCTCATCATCCTGAACTCCATCCCCTGCCCCCAACTCCCCATGGATTTGCTGGTTCCCTTTTTCCCTATGAGGGTCTGTCCACCTCATGGTTCCATTTTCTCTGGAACCCCAGCTCTTCCTGGAGACTTGGGAGGACAGGGTCCATCCCGTGCTGGGCCCTTGCTGTTCAGCACGTGCCTGGGGATGTCCGCTGGCCTCGCCTCTGGGAGAGGTGGGAAACAGCTATTTCTCCTATTTCGCCTGTGTTGCTCAGGCCTTAGCCCTCAAGGCCTGGAAGCCCTCACAGCCAGAAGCCCTCCGGCTTGCCCTGATCTGCCGGGCAAAGTGCCTGCTCTTTTTCATGGCTGGGCTGCGTCTTTCTGCCTGCAGTGCTTCCTTAACAGGGCAGTGCACGGGCATGTGGCGATGAAGGGACTTGGACACTCCCCAGTGCCACGGTGTTCAAGATGCAGGGCACTGCCATACCCTCCATGGACCATTGGTGGTAGCCTTTACTCACGGGGACCCAAATCCTTCCTGGGAACAGATGACCTGAATTTGTGTGTAGGAAGGAAGGACCAAAAGTTTTCCAGACAGACTGCTGGCTGTGTGATCACAGAGCCTGCAAGGGCCTGTGTGCCCCTCACTTCCCGGCTCCTGCCTGCACACCCGGGGGCCTTGGTGGCCCCGTGACCTTAGCTGGCACTCAGTGGGTGGTCACTGTCCCACAGGGTAGTTTTGGGTGACAGGAGATCCATATTTAAACACCTAGCCCAGCAGCTGGCTTATAATAGGTGCTCAGAAGTCACATACTGGCCACATTGCTGAGGAAATATGAATAGCCTGCTGAGCGTTTTGTATTCTGTCACTTGACAGTCACAGCTTCCCTCAGAGGTGGTGCTGTTCTTGTCCCAGTCTTATGTGACGGCTGCGACTGGAGGGGGCCACCGCCTGTCCAGGGGACAGGGCCTGGACCCCAGTCCGTGGAGCCATCACTGGGCGCTGGTTTCTCACCTGTCTCAGCAAATGTTTGCGCCCCACTGCCTTCTGCTTCCTAGCTGCTCCCTGTGCTGAGGGGAGGCCAACTGGCTTATTCAACAAAGCTTTCCTGAGTTTTCTCTAGGCCAGCCAGCCCTGAGCTGGGTTCCTAGCTGCAGCTTCCTGACCTCAGGTCCATTTTGGCTGGAGGATTCCATTTGTCCACCTATGTTAGAGGTGTGCATGCATTTTAATGCCTGACAACTAATTTTTGTTTGCTGTTTTTTAAAGTAACAGGCATCATTGTTTCAGAATAGTTTTACATTCAGTGCAAAACAGAGGGGAAAGTATGGAGAATTCACACACACACAAATCCCGCCCAAGTGTGGTGCATGCGTCACTGTGGAGGAGCTGGTTTTGATGGACTTTTGTTAACCAAAGCCATGGTGGCCTTAGGGGTCACTCTTGGTACTGTGCATTCTGTGGGCGGGACAAGTGTTTAATGACATGGGTCCACCACCATTGCATCGAACAGTATTTTTGTTGTGCTAAAAATCCTGCGCTTTGCCTAGTCATCCCTTTTCCCCCAAATCCTTGGCGGCCTCTGGTCTTTTTATTGTCTCCACAGTGTCGCCTTTTCCAGACTGTCATAGAGTAGGAATCATACAGTTTCCATTTCCCCTGGGCTTCTTTCACGTAGTTATGTGCATGAGGGTTCCATGTAGTTATGTGCATGAGGGTTCCTCTGTATCTTTTCATGGCCTGAGAGCTCATCTGTTTTTAGTGCAGAATACCATCCCATTGTCTGGATGGGCCTCAGTTTACCATCCCTCACCCACAGAGGGCATCTCAGGGTTGCTTCTGTGTGTTTGTCTTTGCGAGTTGCTGCTGCAGCCAGAAGAGCCATTACACACTTTTAATCTGCTCTTCTCTGGGCACTTCTGTGCCTTTTTCCGTAAGATCCTTTCCTGGTAGGCTGTCCTCAGCAATCTTTTTTTTGACTCATTCCAGTCAGAAAAAAAATCATATGGTTAAACCTTGTCAAGATACGTTCATGGCTGTGGTGCTGTTCCCCGGGCATGTGGGCGGCCCACACGTGCATCCCCACAGCAGAAGTCTGGTGAGGCTGTGCCAGGGAAGGTGCACTGTGCCACTTGAACCCCGGCAGCCTCCTTTGCATGGAAATTCATGTTTTTAAACCCAAAGTAATCTGGGCCCTGAACAGGAGCATCAACTATGGAGTCATGGAGTTTCCTGGGGCCTGAAGGCTGGCTGGCCAGCAGGATGGAGCCTTTAATGACAAGCATGACAGTTTGGTGGCCCTGCTGCCAGTGGTTCTGGCACCTCCATACAAGGCACTGTTCTGGGCACTGTCCCCCTGGGCCCTTATGGGGACCCGGTGGGCACTGGATGGGCTCTGCCATAGTGTTCACTGACTTACTCAGGAGGGAACAGGCTTTTGAAGCTGGTGGTGACACATGGCTGGGCGACAGGACCATGTGGTGGTGCAGTTGGGTGTCACTGTCACTCCTTCGTGACTGACTTGTTCCTTGGTATGGCCCAAGTCTAAGGTGGACTTACGTAGAATTTATTAGCCTGGCCCAAAAACAGTTCAGAAGGGAATGATAGTCTTTGAAATAACACATTTGTCTTAAATAAATCATATGATTTGAAACTCCGAACTGTTTTCTCTAAATTGTCACTTGTCATCTGCATTGTGTGGGGTTGATAGAGCAGCGTCCACACAGCTCATGTGCGCCGGCATACATCTGCTTCCCCATGCCACCCAGGGGCAGTTAGTTCCTGGTGGAGTGGCAGCCGTCGTCCTGGTCAGGAGGCCGGGGGCCTGCTACTTGTCTGGCCATGCGTTGGATTTAGCTGGGGACTTTGGAGGTGCCCAGGAGTCTGCTTCTGAGCTGGGTCTTTCTCAGGCCAGCTGGGCTCTGACCCCAGAAAGGGACTTCCCTGCAACTGATATGTGGGCCCTTTGTGGTTAGGGCAGTCACAGATCCTTGGCTGCTGGTATCATCCTATGAGGGGAGGGGGCCTGAGCCTGGGCCTTTCTCAAGGTACTTAGCATTTTGGTAATGCCGTCAGAGCTGTGGGCACGTATTTCTGTGGCTTCATCAGTGTGGGGGAGATTTGTGTTGGCAGAGACCTGATTTTTGATAAGTCCTGTGACCATGGGCCCTGGGTGCCCCCTCCTTCAGGAGGGGATTTTTCTCTCAAGGCTTTTCTCAGATCTGAAGTCAGTTGCAAGGAAGGTTTAGTTTTACTGGTTTTGTTTTAATTAATGACATAGTGCATCATGTCACCAGGTGACTTCTGAAGAGCTGCAGTCACGTGTCTATTCTGGAAGGTTCTGTAAGAAAAGCCAGTCCTACAGTGTCCCACTCGGCCACTGCATCTGATGGTCCTTCACAGATGCTTTGGTGGGGCCTACATGACAGATTAGCCGATGCCTGGTGTCCCCTGCATTGTGAACGTGGTGGATGGGAGGAATGATAGCAGTGATGGTTTTTAGCAAATTAATTCCAGTTTATCACTGGACCCACTTGTGCACAGGGACCTAACCACCTGCAAGACGACCAGGTGCAGCTCAGTGAGGGGTCTTCCACCAACCTGCAGCACCCGAGCTGGCTGCTCACTGAGGCTGGGAAGGGTAGGTGATGGCGCTTGGGAATGGGAGGCCCCTGGGTTCAAACAGGCATCACTTGCCCCAGTGACAAGGGTTACAGATAGGTGAGCACTTGTCTGGGCATGGAGGGCACCCTGTGCAGCTCAGGGATGGGTGGGCTGCCCTGGGCTCATGCGTGTGGGCACAGGTTGCTCAACATGTAAACAGAAATGAAAAGCACTTCGTGAATGTATCCTTTCTCTCTGGGGGTTAGTGACCAGATTCATCAGTTCCCAAGACTCTTAATAGGTGATTTCTTATGCGTGCTTGCTCTGCAGGAAAACAAGTGGAAAATGGCATTTCCATGTGTGGCCTTGAGAAGCAGCCCTCAAACTGTGCAGCCCACACAAAGAGAACAGGTAGATGTGGCTCTGAATTCTGACTCAAGTGATTGCAATTGCCCCACAATTTTAGGCCTTGGGTTGTTTCTCTAAAAAATGGGAATAAGGACACCTCCCGGGAGGGCTAAGAACTGAGAAATCAGCTTGTGTGAGTACTGGCCTGATGGCTTCTGGAGAGTGTCTCTCCATTCATATATTTGAAAAATTGGCATCATTTATCCTAAGAATCCGTTTAGGTATTTGCAGTTGTTAGGAGCCATTCTTTTTGCAGTTGAAGTAATGATTGCAACAGTTAAGCTATTTCATGAAATGTTGACCCATTAACAGCATAAATCAATATGCATTTTATTTCTCAACTGTTTAAGTGACATGAATGTGGGCGTATTTCCTAAGTTGCCTTCCTGGCAATGAGACCTTCCCTTTCAAGCAAACAAATCTCATTTAGTTGGCTTACTTGTGTTTCTCACTTGCCTGGGCTTGGCCTGAGCCTGGTTCCTGTATGGCACACGGCAGGGGAACAGGCTCCTTATTTCCTGAGACCAAAATCACGAGTTCCTCCTCATCAAGGTTGCCTCCAGTATGGCCTGTGGCCCCCACCTGGCTGGTTCTGTTACCCCCACCTGGCTGGGTCCGTGGTCCCCACCTGGTCTGCTCTGTGGCCTCCCCTTGGCTGGCCATCCTTCTTTCTGCTCCCCCAGCATCCTGCATTCTTGTCAGTCCAGGATTCTGACTTTCACTTGAACGGAAACAAACCGAAGCACAGCGCTTCCTTACCTTGCTTACCACTGCTGGCTGAGCTGCTTTCTGCACTAAGTGGCTCTGCTGGCTCACCTCTGGGTGCTTCCTTCCTGGGAGCACATGGTGTCAGCATGTCCCAGCCACTAGAAGGGTGTGCCTCCCAGGCCGGTGTCTGTGCCAGGAGCAGCAGGCAGAGCCCTCACGGCCCCAGGAGACGGTGCTGGTTCATTACTGGGTTGTCTTAGGAGCCATATGGTCCCACCCCAGTCTGATGACATTTCACACACCCACTTGATCAACTGGCATTCCTGTTATCTCTGTTACCAGGAGAGGTGATATGATCCCCAATTCACAGACCCGGAAGACGAGATCAGGGAGGACCTGAGCCGACCAGACCGCTGGGAGAGGGCAGGGGATGCACTCTAACTTAGTACATGTCTCTGATGCAGAGCTCGGAGTTTTTGGATTCTGTCCATCTGTCTAAGGTGCTTGAAGCTATGTGTGTACCACACTGTAAAAAATGCTGTTTAAAATAGAAGCACATATTTACAAAAGTCACAGATTGTAAATGTACAGCCTGATGGGTTTTGATGGTGGACAGATGTTCTTGGTCCCATTATAGGTGGGGAGACAAGAGCACACACATGCTTGCATGGCTGCCTGGCATCTGAGCCCGCCTCTCCATGACTTCGTGATCCTTCAATTTATGCCATGTGCCAGGACCCAGGAAGGAAGGTGCTCTGGGTATGCACGTTCTGCAGCTGTTCTTGGTCACCTCCCTGCCCTCTTTTCTCTTCCCTCTTGTTGGGGGTGCTGCAAAACCCTCCTCTAAAGAGTCGTGGGATACGCCCCTTTGAAGACAACATACTGTATTCCTCAGGGGAGCTTTTGAAATAGCACACAGGGACTTATTGTAGCAGCAACCATCCACCCCTTCTAATTAAATAAAAGGCAAATTATTCACCAACATCAGTACTTTACCTACTGTTAATTCCCAGTCACTTGTGACCCATGTCCAGGCTGATCATGACATAGCTGGTGAGGAATGACTGAATTTGAGACCTAGATTTGTCTCGTGGAAATGGATCTGGGAATTGAGTGTAGTTGATATCTTGGTGCTTGGTGTTTAAAATGATCAGAAAAGTAAACATGATTTTTAAAAGACTTCTTAAAGTTAATATGTATTTTTAAATCTCAGTGCAATTGAACTGGATTTATGAGACTTTCTTCTGGTTCTTCAGCAAGGCACTGGCATCTTCCCAATCTATGGATGCTGTCTTCTTTTCTCTTTTCAAACAGATAAGATGCAGGAATCTGGTAAATGGTCCCCTCCCCATGGGGTCTGTAGGGCCCTATCTGGTCGTGCTTAATTCCTGGGGATCCTGGACTGGACATTGTACCTCTGGGGGCCTCTGCTTCTCCAGCTTGTGCGATGTCAGCTGGTGAGACAGTCTCAGACCGAGGATCGTAAAGCCCCCCCCACGGGCCTGGTGGTGCCAAGAGCCAACTTCTTGCCAGCTTGAGAAAGATGCCTGGGACATTGTCCCAACAATACACACATGAGATTTCTTATCTGGGATAAATATTGGTAACTGATGGCTGCGGAGCAGTAGCCTGTTGGTTTAATCTTGTCATATTCCATGTGAGTGTCGACAGGTGTTTGCCTCAATCCCAGGCACATGTGCCCTGGCCTTGGTGGGCCTCATGCCCCAGTGGGGTCGGGGACTGACCCCCAGGGGGGAACAGAGCCAGGCTGAAAACAGAAAACCGGGGTTTGTCTTTCTTTCTTTTAAAAACACCTGTGCCACTGGTGTGACTATCCCCAGCTGCTTGTTACTTTTAAGGAAAAACGTAAGGAAATGACTCCAGTGATTTTCCTTTTCTTCTTAATGCCCCTTATGGGGCAAGCAGGACAGAGGCCGAGGCATCAGGTTTGTAGGGTGGCGTGCTATTTCATGGGATTAGACAGGCCAGGTTGGGCCCCATGCTCAGTGGGAGAACCGTTTTCTGAGGAATGTGATCCTAATTAGGAATTCCAGGGCCACTCCTGGCACAGGGTACAGAGACCAAAGAGCCAAGGACAGCTCGTCAAGGAAGCAATCTTGAACGTCTGCATTTTGGGCAGCTGTCCCTTTGCACAGACACTGTCCCTGCTCAGAGTTTTGCATTTAGAGTCTGTGCTGGCCTCTGTCCTCTCCTTGCTATGGTGCCCCTGCCCTGGAGGAGCATTTAGCAGCAATCCTGAATGCCAGCCTGTGTCACCCACCCACATGGCAGCCCTCCTGGGCGCTGCCTACTGGGCCCTGCTCCCATGGGACCTTTGGGAGTCTCCTGTGTTGACCTTCGGTCCCCACTGGCCCTGTCAAACCTTAATGGGGGTGCTGTAGACCCACGGTGCCTCCTACCCCCAATTCAGAGGCTGGAGTCCAAACCCCTCTACCTCAGAATGTGATGTGACTGTACGTGGAGATGAGGTCTTTGAAGGGGTTATTTGGGTAAGCTGAGGTCATAGGGTGGCCCTAATCCAGTGTGAGTGACGCCTTATAAGAAGAGGAGATGAGGACCGAGATGCACAGAGGGAAGACCATTTGACGCAGGAGGAGGTGATACCTGCACACCCAGGAGAGGCCTCGGGTACCCGCCCTGTGGCATGGTGACCCAGACGTCCAGGCCCAGGACGGGGAGGAGCCAGTGTCTGTGGTTTGAGGCACCCTGGCCAACTGAGACAGGAAGGATGTAGGCAGTGGTGCCCCTATTGTGAGTGCCAGCACGAGGGGAGAGGGGGTTTTCCTCTTCTCATGATTCCGACTCCCATTTATCATCAGTGGTAATAAAAACAAAGTGGACTTTTACCCTTTCTTAATCTTACATAGCAGGCGAGTAAAAACATCTGACTATTTTTTTGATCTGTAACATACAACACAAAAAGTAAAAGCTGTGAGATAATAAAAGATGAAGATCATGAAGACTCTGCACCTCTGGAAAGACCCCGGCCCTCCTCCCACAGAAACACTGCTCCGTGCAGAGATGAAGGAGCCCCCTTCCCACAGCACCGTGAAGTCCCAGTGGCCAGCGGGCAGGTCGCCTCTGTATCTGTCTCTCCAGAGCCTGGTTCAGGGAGTGAGAGGCAGAGAGTGGCCTCTGATTGAGGTCAGGATTTATTGTGGGCACCTGTGTGCATTTATTAATGCATTTTAATAACTTGGCTGGTGCTGCTGAACTGATCCATCTTGCCAGAATCCTGGCATGAATTTTGGCTTATGCCAGATTGATGCCAGACTGGGGGAAATTTATCTGTGAGCAGAACTCCCTGGAAGACAAGTGGGAACAATGGCAGGAGGGAGACCAAGTGGCGAGTCTCCACTGTGGTAGCTGAGTATGTGAAAACATGCCGAGGGCTCCCGGGCCCTGGTTTCCCTGGGCCTCTGTGAAGCTCAGCACTGCTGGAATTCTCGACAACTCAGAGCATGTTGAACTCGTTTGCCTTTACCCTGACACATAGATCCTACAGGGCATCAGTCACACATGCATTTTTAGACAGACTGATGGGAAAACACCATGTTTTTATATGGCACCGTTCAGAGTAAAATTTGATAAGCAGCAAGGACAATAGCCGAGCTCATTGTCTTATGCTGACATAAAGGAGATAATCTCTGCGAGGCAGGTGGAGAGCTGAACTGTAGTTTCTCTCCAGGACTTTAGCCTCCAGGAGTAAACGAGTGCCAGTGGGCTTCCAGAGGCCATCTTGCTCTTCTGGGAGAAAGAACCTCACCTCTGAGCTGAACCAGGCTCAGTCTAGGGGCAGTAGCCACAGTGCCATGGTGTTCCCTGGAAGTGATGCTGCGCAGCTGGGCTTTTGTTATGTGAGTGTGTGCACATGCACACACCCAGCCACACACACATCCCATTCCTGGCCACAGTCCCTTCTGGCTGCAAGGCCCCCTCTGCCCTGCCTCTGTCCTGGTCACCTGTGCACCTTCTGGCTTGGGGCCAGGCTTTAATACCAGCGGTGCAGGTGCCAAGCTGTGAGGTGTGGCTGGATACTGCTTGCTTGTTTCTGGTTGTCCTTGGTAACAGCATTCAGCCCTACATTGAGCCACAAGGCCATAAAATGGTTCTGAAGCAGGCCTCATGGGGCCGCCTGGGGCTGTCTCAGTTATTGTGGGCGGCCTCCCTGCCCTGTCCCCTTCCTGGTGTCTCCTCTCTTGACCCTGCCCCCAGGTTCCTTCTTGTTAGCAGGAGAGGAGTTGGAGTTTGGACTATTCTCCCTGTAAGGATCTCCTTGGACCTCAATGGGACTCAGCACTCACAGCTCTCTAGGTTATGAGGAGGGCCAGTGAGGGGCCTGTGGCCTCAGGCTTGGCCTGCCATGGTTTTAGCAAGCACACTTCATGAGCTATGGGTGCCTGCAAGCACGGTGTGCTGGAGGTGGTGGCCCTGTCCTCTCCACACATGGCCTGCTCAGGCCTCCATAACAGGGGGTATCTTGGTGAGGGAGGCACCCACTCAGGGCCCTGCCAGTTCCCCCTGGCACATTGACCATGCACTCAGGGACTCTTGGGTGCCCAGCTGTGGGGTAACTCTGGGGAAGGTAGCAGTGTGACACACCCCCATCCTCCACAGCAATCCAGAGAGCATGGTGGCTGCCTACTGCGTTTGTAGCAAGACCTTGGTGCCTGCAGAACCTGATGCTACAGAGGCATTGGCTCCTTCATGACAAGGAAGGCCAGGCCAACTGGACTGGGTCCAGCACCATGGCATTTGTTTGTCAGGTGGAAATAGCTAAAGACACAGGGTGGTGGCACTGGAGAGCATGTGTCCAGTGGTGGCACTAGAAATGTGGAGAAGCAGGTGAGCTCGCCTCTGACTCGGCTTGAACTCTGGACTGCCACCCCAGGTGTAGTTACCTGGTGCCTCCATCTTAAGGAGATGCCACCCCGATGGGGAGGAGAGTGGGGCCCCAGCTCAGAGGGGCAGGTGCTCGGCCCTTGGGGAGCCCTAGAGTTGTGCATGCAGCATGTCCAGAGAAGCTGTGCACTCCGTCTCTGGTCAGGTTAAGGAGCTGGAGGGGACCGCTGATGTCCAGGGTGTGCAGCCAGGGGCTGTGCACAGCTGCTCACATCCCTAATGCTAAACAGGATGTTCCCATTAAGAACGTGTGTGTGTGTCCTAGACCCTTGTCTCCTGGCTCTGCCTGACTGTGGTTGGCCGTGTGCCTTTTTCTCATTCTAAGGGAGGAAATGGACATGAAGCCTGGTCTATTTTCATGTAGTTCCCATTCTCGGACTTGGTATGAGCCACATCAAAGGAACATGTGTCCATGGTGCCCACTTGATGATGGGCTTTACTAGATAAGGTGTTTGCAATTCTTGGTGGGAATATTAGTTCTCTCTTTACCAACAGGTGGCTTTCCCCCCAGAACATATCTTTGTCTCCAAGTTGGTGCTTCCTGTGCATTTTCATTGGCAAATTCATTCTAACTTGAGGTCTTCCCTTGGACATTCGCCGACTGCATTTTGTAACAGTGCATGTAGAAACAGACAGGAGGGGCTCTATTGATCCTCTGGGCCACAGCCTCCTTTCTGGCAGGAATGTCAGTGTGGAAGAGCTGAGAGGTGCTGCTTGTCATTTGTTCTACTGCCCGCCCAGTGCCAGTGCACTGCCAGTGGGCACTACAGTCTGTGTGGGCTGTGCTCGCACACATCTGCTGCCCCGGGACTTGTCTGTGTTGCTTCCTAGAGAGTCACCATGAAGCACAGTGAGTGCCTGGCGGGAGCAGTGCTCAGGGAAGGGGTGTTGAACAGATGACGAGCTAGGCAAGGCGGTTGCAGAGCTCTTTGGTGGTGTTGGTCACAGATGGAGCTGCTGAGTGAGTGGGGGTAGGGGGACACCCTGGGGCCAGGCCATGTGGGTGGTGTCACTACACCCCATGTGGCTGCAGGGGCACTTGGGGCCTCAGGACGTGCCTGCTTCTGGACCCAATAGCTGGTGGCTGCCGCTTTTAAATCTCTGTTTTCTAATACTGCATAGGACTTCTTTCATTCTCTCAGTAGATGTGTACTTCCAGACAGTGGCATTAAAAACTAATGATTAGACTTCATTTTTTCAGGAGAGTTTTAGTTTGCAGAAGAATTGGGCATGTAGAATAGCCAGTTCTCCTGGTCCCCCTCTCATCCCTCACGGGGTCCCCTCTGACCACCACGCAGGGAGGTACGTATATTACCCTTGAGCTGATCCCCCATAGCCCGTAGTTTACATCAGGCACATTCACTCTTGGTGATGGTCTTTCTGTGGGCTTGGACAGCTGTGTCATGTAGCCGCTACCTGAAAAATTCTCTGTGCTCTGCCTGTTCATCCCTCCCCCCAGCGCCTGGCACTCATTACCATCTCCATAGTTTTGCCTTTTCCAGACTGTTCTAGAGTTGGAATTACACAGGAGCTAGGCTTTCACATTGGCTTCTTTCACTTAGCTGTGTGCATTTAAGGTTCCACTGTGTCTACTCACAGCTTGATAGCTCATTTTTTTTAGTGTTGAATAATATCCCATTACGTGGAACACAGATAATGATTTGTCAAAGCAGCTCTGATTCCTTGCATTTTTCTTGCCAGCATGACACACGTTTAGTGAAGCACCGGGACCCACACATGCTGAGTGGACGTGTGCACAGGGATGAAGTTACTGCAGTGCCTGTTAACACGGGGGCTCCTTGGCTGGCTGCCACCACACTATAAGCATCTGTCTGTAGCTCCTTATGTTTCCAAAGCCATTTTTTTTGCCTTATGTTTATTTGTTTGCTTATTCCCTTGTCCATTCATCAAGCTTTAACATATATATGTGGACACACAAAAGAAAAAGGTGAGCTCCAGCTTCCCAGGGAGTCTCGGTGGGGAGTGAAGCCAACCCTGAGCCCAGCAGTTCTGGACAGTGAGAGATGCCACATGTGTGAAGAGGGGGCAGCTAGGTGGGTGGAATGGGGTGCTGTGAGGGAGGGTCCCTGCCCCAGACAAGAATATGAGTCAGAATCCTGGTATGGTAACATATGTCCCAGACAAGCAAATGACCATGTGTCATGTTCCATGAGGAACTTGCTAAGATAAGCAATAGAGTTATAAATAGTCTCCGTGGCGAGAATCCAGGTCACACTGCAGCCCCCTCCAGGCCTCAAGTCACGTCTCTGGGATTTCTCTTCCTTTTGCACGTATTCAGGAGACTCTGAGGATGGGGGTACCAGGGGCCTGGGAGGAGGAGAGGCAGGATGCAGCACAGGGGGAGCTGAGGGCTTCTTGCAGGTGCCCCAACCCTGGCCTTCCAGGTGCGCATGAGGCAAGTCTGACCCCCCCCATGCACCTGGCATTCTGCTGGGCAGAGGGGGTGGTGCCGTCCTTGCTGCATAGTCTGAGCATGGAGGCCCTGCCCTGTTCTTCTGAGCACCACCTGCTCGTATAGTAATACGAGCCAGTTCTCAGATGAGGAAACTGAGGCCCAGAGTGATTAAAGGCCCAATGGCTCCTCGAAAGCTGGGGTCTTCATTTCCCTGGGTCCACGGCCCCCTGGGGCCCATAGCCTTGTCTCCATGACTGATTGTAGTATGGCCTCATCACATGGGCGTGTGTGTCTCTTAATGTACCTGTGCGTCTTCAGAGGACGTCGGGGAGTCAAAGGGTTTCCTGCCCGTCCTGGGCACTGAGCTCTGAGCCCAGAACAAGATAACTGCATGATGTTGCCATGTTTAGGCTGTTCCCAGTTCCATGTGTGGCGATAGTTCTGAAAAGGTAGTCTGTTTTGCAGAGAATGCAAACCCAGGGTGTGCTTGGGAGGCCAGGGCCTCTCCACCCCCCAGCCCGGTCCTCCACCTTTTGGGGTTGGGGTGGGGTGGGGCTGTACTAGCTCAGATCCCAGCTGGGGGTCTATTGGTTCTCTGTATACCTGAGCAGTGGGCATTTCTCCCGGGGGCCGGCTCCATGGTTTTCATCAAATTCTCCAAGAGGACCGAAAGAGCCCAGAAGTGAGGAGACACGTGGACTCTATTAAGTCCTGGTCTTGTCTGCCTTAGGTGTGGAATCTGTGTGACTGTGAGTGGTCAGAGGTCCTCTCCTCTCAGCCTGGGTGCCTGGGTGGATCATTTTGCTGAGTCTTGTCCAAAGCCCATCTGCTCACCCTGTTTCTTCTCCCTTCAGGTGGTGATTCCCTGCTGTGCACAAGTCCACCTGGAGCAGGTAAGCCCTTGGGTCACTGCCCGGGTGAGCCCGCTGTTTCTTCCCACTGTGCCTCCTTTGGGTCCAGCTCTCCGATCCACACCCTCTGCATGAGCTTTCACTCACAGAGCTGTCTGCAGGGACCCTGGCTACTTCACTGGCTGTTTGCAGGCTTTCCTTAAATGGAGAGAGCCGTGACTCCTTTATGAGAACTACCTTTCCTCAGTTACCGTCCAGGATTCACTGCCCTGAGTCAGAGTTTGTGTGGCTTTGGAGCGAAGATTGTCCACGTCCGTTTCCTTCATGATGGAAGTCTGCTCCCATGTCCTGTGTCTCAGGGTGGCCCTGTGGGAGCTGATGCGATGGCTATGGAGTAGGAAGCCCGACAGATGCATCTGTCAGATTGAAGGCAAACAGTACTTGTTGTTGAGTAAAATATAAGTTGCCCGTCTGCAGTGAAACGCGAATGTCATGGTGCCTCTGGGTGTTTTCTCTGCTGCCTCTCTCCCCTTTGAAGATGGTGGGTTAAGCCTTGTTCTAATGACTTACTAGTGGCTTGCAAGACACCTGCTGACTCGGTGCACTTCCGGGACTACAGGATACTCAGGACCCTCTTCTGTTGCAAATCGGAGGTGACTCACTGGGTGAATGTGGCCTTTCTCAACCTCACCTGTGAGGACAGGAGCCAAGTGTGCCTGCTGTCTCCTCCAGAGTATCTGTTAGGCGTGTCCTGTAGTTCCCAGGCTGGCCGCGCACCATGCCCTTGGCCCTGGTTTTGCTGTACTGAGAATCCAAAGTTCTGGTGGGGATTTTGCCTGCCTTCCTGCTCCCAGTGTCTCTGCTGGCCGAGAGCCTGGTGGCCTCTAGACCCAGGGCTTGTTTTTCCCGTCTGTGTGTTGGCTGTCCTGTATGTGGCTTCCTCCCTGAAACTTGGAGGGTGCTGAGTGCCTCCAGCCTGCTGAGGAATAAAAGGCAGGTGAGATGTGGGCAGGTCAGCCCGCTTGTCTCCTCCCCATCCTGGGCTGGGCGGTCTGGGGTAAGTCTGACTTTGTCTTGTGGAGCTTGGGTGAAGGCCTTCCACTTAACATGGCATCCCCCTTTCTGGGCAGAAAGTACAGAAGCTGCTTTTTCTCCCCTGGCCCTATGTCAGCTGAGAACCTTCCTGCACTGTGGGTCCAGTGTTTTGGACTGGCGTGGACATACCTCCAGACAACACCAGCATTTCAAGTGTGACCTTGGACTGCCTGGGCCCGTGTGGGTCTGGCCAGGCCACCTGAGCCCCTGTTTCTGTCCCTTTCTTCATTACATTTACAAAGCACTTGCTCTGTGTCAGAACAGTCGCTCAGAGGGTCACCTTCATTCACCTGCCTGAGACGCGGAGAACCTGGGTCTGAGCACAAGGAAGGGACTCCCTGAGGGCACACCCACCCCAAGAGATTGCAGCCTGGGCCCTGGCAGCTTTTCTTGCCCCAGGCTACACACTTTGTGGTGTTAGAGATAAGCTGGTTTGTTGACACTGCTTCTCCGTGTTTGATATGCTGTATTTTAAAATAAAGAATAGCTTATGTAGGAAAAAAACCCTCATATCCTGTCAGTGCAGCTCAAAAATATTACTGGTTACTCATGCCACCATGTTTTGGACCCTGCGTGGTATTTCTGGGCCTGGGTGCCCTTTCATTCTCGGGCATCTGCGAGCTGGGCACCACTGGCCCTTCCCCAAGGTGGCTTTGCTTGTGCATGGGGTCCTGAGGTCAGGTGCCCTGTGGCCAGGCCCATGCAGACAGGGTCCACACGAGCTCTCATGCTCCCCTTCCCTCACACACTGTCCTCTTGCATGGCCAGAGGTCATGCATGGTGACTCACTGGTCTTCCTGTTTGTGAGCAGGTGGCCCGGCCTCCTTGTCCACCTGAGGCTGTGTTTGGCGCTGTCTCCTTCCCGCCCCTCCACAGGTGGCCTGCTGACCCAGCCACTCTGTGTGCTCCTTTGCCTGGGGCCTCTCCTCCACATGGCATTCAGCTACTCTGCAGATGTCAGCTAGTCTTTCTGGGAGGTTCCAGAAGCTTCATCTCCTCTCGTTGCACCTGTGTGAACTGCCAGGCCTGGCTGGATTCCTGGACAGCATCAGCTTGAGTGTGACTGTTTTGAAACACCTTGTCATAATTGACCAGTCCTGGCTGGAGGGGTGATGTTGGTGATGGGCTGTGCCAAAGGACCTGACTCCATCCCATGGCTGGAGATACCCCTGCTCCTGATGGCATTATGCTCTACAAGGGTTTGTCTGCAGTGGGGTGTCTTAGTGACCACCCACTCGGGTGTTTGAGTCACACCAGGGAAGAAACAGTTGTGTGCTTGTTATGCTCAATTCCTTGGCCATTTGCCTGTTTTTCGATGAGTTTTCTGATAGCATGTCCCTTGTCTGTTTATTGCAATGGCTTGAAAAGTGGGGTGTGCCATTCGATTAATAAACGGACTGAATATGGCAGGCAGTGGGGCTGAGAAAGATGTCTGGGAGTCAGCCCTCCCTTTGTAAAGGCTAACTTAGTTGATGGAACATACACATAGTCTTGAGTTTTTTGGAAGCTGCTGTGAAAAAGAAATCATGGTTATTGGCATGTACCTTATCAGCAAGGAGGGAAATAGGGAGTCAGCGGAGAAAGTGTGGGATGTGGGGAGTGTGCCTAGTGTGGGCTGCCGCACAACGCCACTCCCCGTGTGTCGCAGGGAAGTCACACCCAGTGCTGCCGGGCAGCATGTAGGACCTCTGTTTCTTTTGTGGCTGCGGCTGTTGAGGCAGCATTTCAAAGGGCAAGGGATGAAAGTGGCTTTCCTGTCCATGCCAAGCCTGTTCGGCTCCTATGGAACATAGTCTCTGGTGTCATGGAGCAGATACATCACTGTCTCTGGATAACTGATCCGTAGTGATGGGAGAGGGGGCCAGGTTCTTTGCCACAGAGCCACACAGAGGCTGCAGCGATTTCTGTAGATCTACATGTGTGAACATCAACTGTGCATGCCCACACGTACATACAATAGGGGGCAGTGGTGGATGTGTGCTTGGGGCAGGGGCAGGTCTGGGTCCCGTTCAGGCTGTCACCGTGGGAGAGCCGTGTGATGTGAGCTGAGCCTCTTACTCCTGGGCTCCATGTCCCTCTTCTGTAAAATGGGGGTGCCTCAGTAGGAGCATGCACAAAGCACACAATGGATGACAAAAGCCTTATTTATCATTTAGTGAATTCAAGAGGGCAATAAAGGTCTTTGGTTCCAGCAGCTTTTGCTGGCTTCTGTTTTGCTGTTTTTGATCACTGTTCTCTTGCCTTCTGGTGGCAGAGAACTGGTTTGATCAGTGCCAGAGGATGCCATCTGCCACATGAGGGTGAAGGTACAGACCCTTCTGAGACCTTGACTCTTGTAATCCCTTATTTGGAGATTTAGAGGCGGTCAAGAAGCCTGCAGAAAAGGGCTTGTGGTCAGAATGCATGTGGCCCATAAACTAGACAGTGGATTGGTTGCAGGATCTTTTCATGACAGTCTGCACAGTGGTCAGAACGTGGCGTCACAGCTTTGTTCACATCCGGCGCACGGTTGTTTGTTTTTCCATGCCTTTCAGAAGCCATCCATAGGGCTGATCATATCAGTGCCCCAGCTGATCTGGAAACTCCTTCCTGGGTGCAGGCGTGGCTTTGGCTAAGTGACTGCATATGAACCACCCACATGGCCAGGGTTCCTGGGCAGCGAACAATGCGCTGCTCTGTGTCTGATAAGTTTTGCTCTTTTCAGAGAGGCCTCTGTCCTTGAAAGAGGCATGTCCCCACCTTTGGGTGGCCACGTGCAGGAGGCGTTCAGGCTCAGCTTAGGACTCAGGTGCAAGCCCTCACCTGGCCACTGGTGCTCACATGCAGATTGTTCTCGCTTGGCTGTGTGGTTTCTTAACACTGGAGGAGAGGTTGTTTAAGAATAGATTCTGAAATTTGAGGCAGCTGTTTACTGAAGTCTTAGGGCTTCACTTCTCTTTGTTTAATTAAAGTGAAGCCAATGGGTGGTTTCTGTCAAAGGTGACATTTGGATTCGGATTACACAGTCTGAGGCTGGAGTCTCCAAACTGGGTTCTGTTAGCTACACTTTTGTATTTTTGTGCAGGTGCAGGGTTTGAGTGTGCGTATATGTGTGTGCATGGTGTGTGTGTGTGTGTGTGTGTGTGTGTGCTGTGTCCTGTTTGTGCATGCATATGTATGTGTGTGTGTGGGGGGGGTGACTTTGTGAGTTCTAACAAACTATATTTGAACAAAGTCAGAGGAAGCGATCATGAAATACAAGGTTAGCACAGTACAGTGTGACTCAGCACAGACGCCCATGAGCAGATGGTGTCGGTGTCACATTTCCCCCAAGGGTGCATGACAGATCCCTCAAAGGTGTCAGGTATTTCAGAAAGAATGCCCACTAAATTGGATAATGGCAAGGTTGAGATGGATAAAGTGAATCTACTTTAATGACAGTCTCTTCTTTTGATTGCAAAATTAGGTAGCAACAACTGATTTCAAGCTTTACATCTGTCATTGTTGGGTGGGGGCTTTGTATAGGAAGAGTTACAGGCTCACAGGCTGCGTGGTCTCTCCTGGTGGATCCAGTCCCCGGTGGTCTCTGAATGGATTTCTGGTTCTCTCTGTAAGTGCATGTATCTGATTGACTGCTGGTTATTTTTGCTTGTAGATCGTTTGCACTACGTAGGAGACTTCTAAAGCCCAGACAGGGATCTGCTTACCACAGTGGGGTCATAGCTGAGCGATAAACTCTGATTCGGAAAATCACAAACATGTATACACATGTACAGATGTGTCTGGACCCACAGCTGCCCTGCCAGAGGCTGTATATCTCATATGGACATATTTGACCAGAATCACGGTGACATTAATAGGCCAACAGAGAGTTGCAATCTCCCTGGAAATGAGGAAGTCTTTAGGAAACAGAGAAGTCTCAAGAATCCCCTTGGATCTAAGTCTGAGTCTTCCACTTGGTCAGAAGA